GCGCCACTTCCTGGCGCCCGGGGTGCGGCGCGAGGCGGTGCGCGCGGGCCGGGTGCGGGGCGCGCTCTTCCTGCCCGCAGGTGAGCCTCCTGTTGCCCCCGCGGCTCCCTCAGCCCGCCGCGCCACACAGCTGCGGTGTCCGCGATCCCCTTCGGTCCCCTCCAAGCCCTCTGCTGGCCCTCAGAGTGCGCGGTCACTGCCAAATGGCGAACGCGTCCTGGCTGCCGGCTCTGGCTAAGTGCTTCGAATGTCCGGCTTCCTCCGTCCCGCTGGGGTAGAATCTGAGGGGCGACAAGAGACCCGCGGGTAAGGTTTGAGGGCAGCGGCTGTGGGGCAGTGACCAGGCGAGGGGCAGAACCAGCAGCGCCTGCGGGCAGCCTGTTGGAGAAGCTCGGCTTGGCCCTGCCAGGCTGAAGGATCTGAAGCGGTGGGAGTGGAACCAGCAGCCTGGCTGTGCCACTTTCCCCTGCTGTTTCTGAGGCAGAGGCAGCCTGGAGCCTGTGTGCAGGGCAAGGACCCTGAAGGTGCAGGGGCTCCCAGAGCCGCGCTCAGGGGCCCTGTGCCAGTTGGAATTCCCTTTGCAGGAGAGCTCAGAAGGGGAACTGCCGCCCGACAGCAGTGCCCAGAAGGCACGAGCTTCAGGACCCTTTCGCTGAGTGTGGGGGCGCCAGCCTAGAATCCCCAGCGCCTGGGAGGCCGAGCCGTGGAGGGTGGCCAGGAGTTTCAGGCCAGCCTGTGCTCCACCATGGGACAGAGGTGGCCAGAATTATATCCAAGGACCTGCCTCAAAAACCAAAACGGGGGGACCAGGGAGATGGCTCAGTGGAATAAGTGCTTCCCTGAAAAGCGCAAGGGCCTGAGTTCAATCCCTGGTTCCACCAAAACAAACAAACAAACAAACAACAACAACAACAAAAACTAAATCGGAGGGACTCTTTATCTTTTATACAATAGTTAAAATTGCCGAAATCTCTGCTACTGCTGCTCTAGCATATGGAAGAAACCTAAAACTGAAAATGTGTTTGTTTGGTTAAACAGATTTCAAATAGTGCAATATTTACATATTTAAATAGTAACAAGCAAATATGTCAACAGCACAAGGCATCTACATTAAAGTGCTGTCTTCTATGTGTTGCCTTTACTTGACCTACTCTTGGGAAGCCACACTTCTGTGCCATTCTTGCTGTCCTATAATTCAATATCGCAGTTAGGATGTCATCGTTAAACTTGAATGTTTCTTTGGGAGGCTGCAAAGTGTAATTCTGTAGCTCTAAAATGGAACCAGGTTTAAGAGGACAGTGAATAACATGCTTAATTGTAATACTTAAGTCTTCAGTGAAACAGATTGCTATGTGAATGGCCAAATCAGTCAATGTTTAGACCCTTCACAGATTGACCTGTGCACATAGGGAGGCATGCCACGTGTTATAGGTCAGGGATGGCAAGCCTTTTAGAGCTTTCAGTGGTAACAAACTGGTGGCTGTGGTACATGCGCCAGAGTTTCGCTACCACTGATATATGCAGTGGTATAGATTATTGGGGAAAGGCAGTTATATTGGCTAGTTACTGGAGATCCTTACCTTATCCAATACACAAACAAATTCCAGATGAACTGAAGAAACGTATGTGAAAGGAAAACATTACTAGGAGTTGGGCAAGGTGTCACACACTTGGAATCTCATCTTGTATGTTGAGTCAGTGCTAAAATGAAGGTCAGGAAGACCCAATGAATACAGCTTCTGAGGTCTCACTGACAGTGCTTTAGTGAAGTCTGCCAAATAGGAGTCAGATTCAAAAGTCACCTAAGGGCTACACCTCTTTTGTTTCAAGGACCTGGGCCCTTTCCTGGTATCATGGACCTCTTTGGAGTCGGCGGAGGCCTCCTGGAATATCGAGCTAGTCTGCTGGCTGGGAAGGGCTTTGCTGTGATGGCTCTGGCTTACTATAACTATGACGACCTCCCGAAGAACCCAGATGTCATCCACCTGGAGTACTTTGAAGAAGCGGTGAACTACCTGCTCAATCACCCACAGGTTGGCTATTTTTTCTGTCCTTTGTTCAGATAGCAGGTTTTGAATACTTTCCAGGGGCAGGATAGATTTTCAGCTAAGTGACCTTAAGATCCTCTGTGACAAAAATCAAATATTAAACATCTTCCAGCTTCACAGAAAATTACATTTCTGAGATGCGGTGGTAAAGTCGGGCATCTAGTCAGATGATGCATCCCATTTAGGGGTGACCGAGCATTTCATTTGGTCCAGGACAGAAGGTTTCGAGGGATGCAGGCCTTGTGGTACTAGACCAGGACAGGCCGAGGTCAATGAGGAGGGATGCTGCTTTGCTTTCTGGGTATGCCAATTTGTAGCCAACCTCCAGGCCTAGTTTAAAGCTCAATGAATCACAGGTATGAAATGGACCTGACATTTGATGAATAACGTACAATCATTCAGCAGCAAGCACTAGAGGATCCAGGCACTTAATGCACAGTGAGGAGGACAAGGTTCCTGTCCACATGACTGAACACAGAGCATGGGGACTGTGGAGGGAGGGCTAGGGAGAAAGGAACCTTAACAATCAACGTGCTAATATGAAGAGCACATTGATGGAGAATCATGGGCATGAAACTGTGGGACTCGATAGAGCAGGAAGAGCATCCCTTAGCAAGGCTGACACTTGAGCCGTCCTTCTTACTCATAGGAAAGCGCTTAGCTGGACCAGTCTGGCGATCATACTTTGTTAAATCTTTCAGTACTACCAGTTGTGTGTTAAAAATATAATAGTTACAAAAGACAGTGAATCATGATGTAGCAGCTGCTGAGTAGGCTTATGTCAACACTTTGAGGTTGTTCATACACACTTCATGGTGGTTTTGTCCTGCATACATGCACTGTGTAAGCTGGATGACACTTTTATTGCTGCCAGCATTCTTTGCACAAATAACACTCAGTTCAGAAAGGAAAGGACTGGAGATTATAAGTACAGCCCCTCTCTTCAGCGGTGCTCTCCTTCCGTGTCTGTCCTAGTGTCTCATGTGCAAGTAGACCATAACCTAAGCACACGCTGACCATTTTCCGATTCCTGGGGATATAGCCTGATGCAGGATGAAGATGCTGCAGACTAATCTGCCAACACCTTCTGGACCTGAATGCTTTTCTATGACAAGCGCTGTGCTAAGTGCCTTGCGTGTGGCTTCCCGTTCAGCTTTGTGTAGACTCTGCGACATAGGGGCTCACCTCTCATCTCTCTGCTAAGGAGAGTGAGCTGCCAAGAACTTCAGTGACCTCCTTAAAGTTGAGGTGTTGATACCATCTCATTTGGGCTTAGGCCTAGCAGACCTCTAACTAGACACTACTGTTCACTTCATGGACTTATATTCTTTCTTTAAAAAAAATCTTTTATTACTTATTTATTGGATACAGGGTCTCACTATGCAGTTCAGACTCATAGTGATCCTCCTGTCTCAGCCTTCCCAGTGCAGGGATTATAGGCATGTGCCACCATGCCTGGTTTCAGTGGCCAGCATGGCACACCCAGAGTTCCGGGGCTAGCATGGCATGCAGACCCTGGTCCTTGCACTTGCCAGGCGGGTGCTTATACCTCTGAGCTATCTGTACAGCCTGGATTTACTCTTTCCTTTTTATCTGTCCCTTTCTCAGGTAAAGGGCCCTGGAATCGGGCTGCTTGGGTTTTCCAAAGGGGGTGAAATAGGCCTTGCCGTGGCCTCTTTTCTGAAGGGTATCTCGGCTGCCGTCATCATCAACGGCTCCGTAGCTGCTGTCAGGACAGCCATCCAATATAAGGATGAAGTTGTGCCTCCTGTGACCGTCTTGAGAGATCGGGTCAAGATGACCAAAGATGGCGTCATGGACGTGGTGGATGCCCTGCAGAGCCCTTTGGAAGACAAGAAGAGCTTCATTCCTGTGGAAAGGTCTGACATCACCTTCCTGTTCCTAGTAGGCGAGGATGACCACAACTGGAAGAGCGAGTTCTACGCTAATGAGGCCTCTAAGCGCTTACAGGCCCATGGGAAGAAGAAGCCCCAGATCATCTGTTACCCTGACGCAGGGCACTATATCGAGGTCCCATACTTCCCCTTGTGCCAGGCTGCTCTGCACAACTTGGTGGGTTCTCCTATCATCTTTGGAGGGGAGCCCCGGGCTCATGCCATGGCCCAGGTGGATGCGTGGAAGCAGGTGCAGGCTTTCTTCCATAAGCACTTGGGTGGTGAGGAGGAGGCCATCCCAGCAAAACTGTAATTTTTATTTGATCATGTGACATCCCTGATTCTAATCTCTCCTGGGAATATCTGCTAAAGTTAGTGTGTATATTTTGTTTTCAATTAAAGCACTATATCATTTTTGTACCATAGATACTAATAAACTGGATACCTTATCAGCTTTTGAGCAGAGAGGCTCTGTAGAAAACAAGGGCAAAACAACCCTTCTAGTGTTGCAAAGCATGTGGCCAAGGTTTCAGCTCCTAAAGGAAAAGTGAGTAATACTGTTTCATAGTCCCTGCTCCATAATTGGAGTGTGTCTTCGTTACTTCACCAGTTGCTGAGACAAAATACCCAAGAGCCAAAGTGAGGGGAGGAAAGATTTATTGTAGGTCTCGTTAGTAGAGGTTTCATTTTAAGGCTGGCTGGCTCTAAGGCAGGATGGCCTGGTGAAGGGGCACTGCAGAGAGTAAGAGGTGCATGACAGGCAAAGCCAGGATGGCAGCAAAAGTAGCAGCAAGTGACAGGCCACAACAGCAGCTCCCCTCTGTCACTTATATTTTGGGGGTGCAGCAGGCACTTAAAGGTAGCATCACATCGTTTTTTGTTTTGGTACAAGGGATGAAACTCACAACCCCGCGCTTGCCGGGCAGGCACTGTGTCCCTGAACTATGTCCCCAACTTAGCATCACATTGTGAGTCAGTCCCAGCCTCACATCCTTAAGCCTAGCCTCACACAGCTCAGGTCCAGCCTCCTAGGAAAAGCCCACCAGTGACTGTCCTCAGCTTTGGGTCATTGAGATCCAAGCCATGACAGGGTACACTAAATATTACTAAATGACCAACAAGTGGCAACCTAGTATTTGAAAAGAACATATAGTGGCCTTTTTATCTGCATTCTGTGTATTTAAAGAAATACAGATCAAAAATGTTGGCACACATTGCATTTGACTCTTTCCATGACAGTTTCTCCTGAACATGGAGAGCAAGTATATACATAGCATTTGCGTTGAGCTCAATATTATAGTACGTCTTCAGTAAGTGACATCTTCCTTTTTTCTGAAAGAATGTTCACCCAGTGATCCAGCTCCTGACAGCAGGGTAGACTCCGCATTGGCCAGACGCCTCCCCGGGAGTGTGATATTTGTACTGTAGAAGTCACAGAGGATTCCTTTCAGGTGGAGAGTTGGGAATATGTCTGTCAAATGCTAAGTGTACACAGTGCTCCAAGGGCGAGTGACTGTGATGTGTTCTCTATCTTACTTCCTGGTTCTAAGAATCAATTTTGGAAAGTTGTGTGACACCCTAGCAGAGCATTCTTCGCTTCCCTTGGCGTCAGTGCTGAGCACTGCTGCGTAAATGTACTTAAAGCCTACGAATTCTGCAAAATTGATGTCAGAGACCTCAAGCCTCATATTCAAGAAGCCGTATCACCTCAACTAGGATGAATAAAAAAAAATAACTTCTTTTTGGAAATAGGGTCTCACTATATAGTTTAGACTGGCCTTGAACTCACCATGTAGCCCAGGCTGAGCTCAGACTCACTGTAATCCTCCTGCCTCAACCTGCAAAGTGCAGGAACTACGGGTGTGTACCACCACACTCGCTGAAACCTTTTTTAGTAGTTTTATGACATACCTGTAAATTCTTTGCTATTCTGTCACCAAAAATAGGACCTATATGTCCTTGTTTGAAGCCTGCAGGGTCTTGTGACTGTGTCAGTCACTGGAACAGAACAAATAATATGTAGCTTGAGGCTGGGTCCTAAAAGGTCATGACTGTTCCCCAGGTTTGCAGGGAGCACGTCACTTGCCATCCTGGGCCACCATGTGTGAATGTTGATTGCCTTCAGGCTCTAGTGCTGTCAGGAAGCCCCAGGCCCAGGAAAGGCCGACTGTGCAGCTCCTGTGACGCACCAGCCGAGGAGCGACCATGGCTCGCCTCTGCCTGTGTTGGGGAAAGCTCCCAAAGATTTTATCCCCAGCCATCTGAATATTTCCAGCAGATGCTTCAAACATCCTAAGCAAAACAGAGCTGTACCTCTCAAACCTTGTCCAAAGGTAGAATTGGAAGCTAAATCATACCGTGTGTTTGTTTGAGATGACTTATATTTCAGCTTTGTCCCCATTGTATAGTGTTACGTAATAAGCCTCCCTGAAGCACAGTGGCATTAAAAAATAATCGTTTATTTTTCTCTATACTGGATGTTGAACAGGACTCAATAGGAATGGGTCACCTGTATTCCAGTGCCCTTGGCCAGAGCAGTTTCACCAGGGGTTGGAATATTACTTTCATGGCTGGGAGACTGGTGTTTTTGGGGGAGCTGACCAAGACCCCAGCTACCTGTTTACTGGGTACAGTGAAGGAGTGAAACATGAAACAGAGATAAGTTCAGTAATTCATGACAATGTTGGTGGGAGGTCGGTGCTAAGGATGGGCAGAGACCAAGACCCTGCACGCCAGTCACTGTTTATTGTGTAAAATAATCAGATGGATTGTTGAGTGACTCAGGGCAGTTGTAACATTATGCTGTGAAGGTCTTTTTGTTGCCTGTGTAGGGTTGGCTTTGTCGTCATGAAATTCTTTAGTTGTTCTTTGTCATGGAAGTATTTCACTTCTCCATCAAACTTGAAAGAGAGTTTTTCAGGGTATAGTAGTCTGG